GGAAGGACTTCCAGAATTTTGACCCAAAGCCCTACTGCCAGGGTGTGGATTGACCCCAGATGCTGCAATTATTTAACCGGCCCTGTGTTCGTGGTCAGTCTTTCCTCAGTGGCAGTACATATGGGTTAGCAGTGCATTTCCCCATTGACTCATATTTCACTTCAGTTCATGTTACAGCAAAGGTGCTGTGTTTCAGATCGGACAATAAACCAAAGCCTCTCCAAGACAGTGACTAGTTGGGAAAGATCTCATGGAAATATTTAACGAAGAGCAGAAGGAATTCTTGCACTGTACTGAGAGCAGTTATGGTCTGGAAAGATATAATCAGATTGGAAGCAGTTCAGAGAAGGTTCACTAGGATGATCCCCAAAATGGAGGGATTGTGTTATGTGCAAAGGGTGAACAAATTGGGACTCTACTCACTGGAGTTTAGAAGAATAAGAGGTGATTGCATTGAAATATATAGGATTCCGAAGGGGCTTGACAGGTTAAATGCTGAGAGGATGTTTCCCCTCATGGGAGAGTTTCAGATCAAAGGGCATAGTCTCAGAATAAAGGGGCGCTAATTTTAGACCGAGGTGAGGAGAAATTTCCTTTCTCAGACAGTTGGAATTCCTTGCCACGGAGAGCTGTTGGGGCAGAGTCGTGGTGTATATTGAAGGCTGAGATTGATAGATTATTGATCAGCAGAGGAATCGAGGACTACAAGGAAAGAGCAAGAAAGTGGGGATGAGGAATGGTCAGATCAGTCATGATCCCACTGAATGGCACAGTAGGTCCAAGGGGCTGAACGGTCTACTCCTCACAGAATCCCTACAGTGTGGAAACAGGCCCTTCGGCCCAACAAGTCCACACCGACCCTGAGAGCATCCCACCCACCCTGTAACCCACCTAATCTGCACATCCCCGAACACTACGGGCAATTTAGCACGGCCAATCCACCTAGCCTGCACATCTTTGGGCTGTGGGAGGAAACCGGAGCACCCGGAGGAAACCCACGCAGACACGGGGAGAATGTGCAAACTCCGCACAGACAGTCGCTTGAGGCTGGAATTGAACCCAGGTCCCTGGTGCTGTGAGACAGCAGTGCTAACCACTAAACTCCTGTTGCTATTTTTTTATAATCACCTTCTGGTGCAGATGTGGCAGTGTCCCCAACCGACCCAGAGCTGACATCACCACCATAGGACAGGTCAGGAAACATTAAAAACAGTCGACATATAATAGCTGGGGAGACTGTGGAATTCTTTGCGTCATCACTGGTTTTGCTCACGGCTACCCAAGTGGCATTGTTTTTCAAAAGAACATGGGAAAAAGCTAACTTCATTTTTAAAAATGGTTTTAATCTACCACAAAATGCAAAGTGCAGTTTGCATATATCACGTATTTACTTGAGATATTGAAGGAGAAATACTTTTGATTTTGTAGGCATATTTATGTGCTATCAGCAAGGCTGCTGTGGAGATAATACAAATCAAACAAGCTCAGGTTTGTTGCTAGGATTTCAGTGAAGGATACCCACTAACAATCTCCCCTTTGAACTGACAGCGCTGTTTCAATTAATGCATCAATTACTTAAGTCCAACTTAAAATTAATCTTTTTCACCAATTGATTTCTCCGAGAGGAAGGATTGAAAACTGAGAACCAGGCTGAGCAGTTGTACGGCACTGTGTGAATTTCTTAGTAGCTTGAAGACACAGGAAATCATCAAAAATGTTTATTAGTAACAGGAGGACAAAATGCGAATAAACGCTAGCAGCAGTTCCCTTGACTTCCAAACAGTACTGCTTGATACTTCAGTACTGAGAAATCCATCATCTAGCCAATGTCAGCAAGGATACAATGCAATGAATGGGGTTCCTGTGGTGCAGTGATAATGTCCCTGCCTCTGAACCAGGAGGCCTAGGTTCAAGTCACATCTGTGCTAGAGATACTTTGTAACATACCTGCATAGACTGATTAGGAAAATATCAAAAATGGAATGAATAACAGGTCTGCCCTGGATAGGGTGAAGAATCTCCTTTGGGGGTTACTGCCAGTTGAAGACAATGATCTGTACCATATGCACTCAAAAGTTTGCATCATCCACTCAAACTATGATTAGCAAAAATCCAGGAAATTTAATCTCTTTAAATACCAGTCACAGTTTGATTTTTAAAAAACCCATTGATTGAGTCCTCGGCATCTTTATTACTTTTGCACATCAGCAGGTAATTAAATGTGTGCATTTCTAATCTCTAAATAAATCTGTAGTGTGTTCAGACTTTGTGTATTGACCCAGTGGAGCTGTATTTACTAACTTTTCTTAGAAAAAGTAGATAGTAAGCATGTTGTGGGATTTCAAGCATTGGATAATACAACTGAGTTGGTGTTAAGCCTAGAAAAATATCCTTGGCCCAGCTTTTGGATCTCAGAACTCTCATGTTTATGCACTCAGGTGGGTTCCAGCAGATGGGAAAACCATCAATGAAATGACCCTGTGCGTGAACAGAGGCAGCTAACAGGAAACAGTGAGCGAGTTAGCTTAATATCTATCATTACCAAAATGCTTCAAAGTCCATTATTCAAGAAGAAATAGGAGGCTGTTTAAAAAAAGTTTAACGTTATCAGAATCAACAAGGATTTGTGAGATGGAAATCACAATTGACAAATAAGCCAGAGTTCTTTCAGGATATAACAGAGTTGTTAAATGGGAGCTGGTAGTATATTTGGATTATGAGAAGGCTTTCGATAAGGTGCCACACAAAAGGTATTGTACAAGATTAGAGCTCATAACATTGGGGATAATGTATTAGCATGGATTGAGGATTAGTTAACACACAGAAACAGACAGTTGGGATTTAATGGGTCTTTTTCAGGTCAGAAAGGCGTAACTAGTGGAGTGCGGCAAAATCAGTCGTAGGGCCTCAACAATTTACTTTCTATTTTAATGACTTAGAGGAGGGGGCAGAGGATAATGCAACCAAATTTGCTGATGATACAAAAGTAAGTAGGAGGACATGTTGTGGTGAGGACATAAGGAATCTGCAAATGTAGATTGAGCGAATGGGCAAAAACTTGGCACATGAAGCTTAATGCAGGAAAATATAAAGTCATGCACTTTTGGGGGGAAAAATCAAAAAGCACATTTTTAGTTAAATGGGGAGAAACTTCCAAATAGCATGGAGGCATCTGGCTTTTGTACATCAAACACAATAAGTTAACGTGCAGGTGCAGCAAGCAATTAAGGTGAATGGGACTTTGGCCTGCATGGCTTGAGATTGGAGGGAAATTTGGAAGTCTTGTCACAATTGTGCAGGGTATTGCCAAGTCCACACCTCCAGTACTATGTACAACTTTCATGCCTGTATTTGAGATAAGGTATACTGGTATCAGAGGCTGTTCAAAATTGATTCACCATGTCGATTCCGGGAATGAAGGGGTTGACTTCTCAAGAACAGCTAAACAGGTTAGAAATCTTTAAAAATTACAGTTAAGAGGGATGATGGGTGACCTTATTGAAATAAACAAGAATTTGAGGGGAGCTTGACAGACTAGAGAGAGTCTGTTTCCACGCTGTATGACCTTTTGGTCTAACTCGTCCATGCTGACCAGGCATCCCTACTAAGCTAGTCCCATTTTCCCGCATTTGGCCCATATCCCTTTAATCTCTTCCTATCTGCATACCCATCCAGATGTCTTTTAAATGTTGTAATTGTACCAGTCTCCACCACTTCCTCTGGCAACTCATTCCACAAACACAGAATCCTCTGCTTGTAAAGGTTTACCCCTCAGGTCCTTTTTAAATCTTTCCCCTCTCACCTTAAAACCTATGTCCTCTAGTTTTGGACTCCCCTATCCTAGGAAAGACTTTGGCTATTCACTCTATCCGTGCCCCTTGTGATCTTATAAACTTCTAAAAGGTCATCCCTCAGCCTCTGACGCTCCAGGGAAAATAGCCCCAGCCCATTCAGCCTCTCTCCACAGTTCAAACCCTAGGGTCCCAGCAACATCCTTGTAAATCTTTTCTGCAGCCTCTCGTTTAACAACATCCTTCCTATAAAAAGGGGGACCAGAATAGCACGCAGTATTCTAAACATGGCCTTACCAATGCCGTGTACAGCAACAACATAATGTCCCAGATGCTATACACAATGCATTGACCAATGAAGATGTTGAGATGATGTTTCGACTAGTGGTGTTCTTGTGCATAAACCACATAAAGCCATGATATACATTTAGCTGAATAATAGGGAAGGCAAATGGAACATTGTCCTTTATTTCAAATGGAATAGAACATAAAAATAGGAAATCCTTGTTAAAACTACAGAAGGCATTAGTTAGACCATGCCTAGAATACGGTGAACAGTCTTGGTCCCCTTATCTAGAGGAAAGATATAGTGGCTTTGGAGACAATCCAGTGTAGGCTCACTAGGCTGATACCAACTGTGGAGGAGTTTCTGAATGAGGGGAGGTTGAGTAGGTCCTGTACTCATTATTAATTAGCAGAATGAGAGGACACTTTATGGAAAGGTGCAAGATTCTTAGAAAGCTTGACAGGATAGACGTGGAAAAATTGTTTGCCCTTGTGGGAGAGTCTAGGACCAGAGGGCATAATCTCAAAATAATTGGTTACCTATTTAAAACAGCAGAGGAATTTCTTTTCTCTGAAGGCTGTGAATCTGCAGGGGGCTACAGAGGCTGGGTTGTTAAGAAAATTCAAGGTTTAAATAGGCAGATTTTTAATCTGAGGCAGAATTGAGAATTATCAAATCAGTCATGATCTCTTTAAATGGTCAAATGGCTTGCTCTTGCTCCTGCAATTGTGGTCTTATGTTCTTAGGTAGTAGACATGGTAACGATCATCCTTGAGAGTTGGAGGGAAATAGAGTTAAAGTTCCAAGTGCATTTTAACACAGCTTCAGAATCATTCCAAAAGAATGCAACGACAAACTACATAACAAGGGCATGATCCCATCAAATAATGTGTTAACGAAGTTCACAAAAATACAATGAGAAATGCAGAATTACAAATTTTTTTTTATTTCAACATGAAGATGTTTAAAACCAGACAAAGTATGTCAATAGGCTAGAAATTACTTTTCATAAATATGTAGAGAAATGGAAAGCAGCGGCTTAAAAAAAAAAATCACAGAAGTAAGGCAATTCATATCTCCAAAACAGCAGGCTACAATATCAGTCAGCGTAACAACAGTGTGCTGTGTTGGGTCAGGAAGCAAGTGAGTGGCAATATTGCAGCAACTTTCAGTTAAGAGAGTATGTGGTAGAAAGTGCACGGAGGTGAAGGTCCAGACTAGCTTACTGATTTATTTATTTGCTGATGTAAGAACACGGATGGAAAAAAGGAACTGAAGCATCACTTTGATCAAGACTGAATTAACAGATATTACAACATGGTTGTTAAAAATGGGAAGCCATGAAGAGTCCAATGTAAATTAATCAGATCATTTCAAATTGCTTGCCACCTCAAACTGATGCACTTAACTTTCAACTTCCTTTTCTTTGTTCTTGGGATGTGAGCATCACTGGAAAGGACAGCATTTACTGTCCATCACTTGATGGAATGCTGGTGAGCCACCTGGATCCCAGCCATCCACGCGGTGCAGGTACAACCACAGAGCTATTATGGAAGGGGTTCCATGATTTTGACCCACAAACAATGGAGAACTATTGCTTGCTCAACACAACTCCAGCATACAAAATCAATCCTTCTTTCAAAGGGTAATATAGTGGTAAAATCACAACTATGTTTGCACAATAACTTTCAAAATAAATATTTTAAATTTGAGGAAGTTGTAGATGTAGTTTTGTAGTTTTAAATTTGGGGCAAGTTGTGTGGTGATATTGAACTGTGAAGAGACATGCATGCACACCAAGGCTTTAGCTAAGGTTGATCAATTTTGGGTTAAAAGATTTTTGTTGGTATGCAAAACCAGAAACTACCATTAGTCTGATTGGATGACAGTCCACTATGGCCAGAATGGTGAACACATGACTATAATCCTGCATCCTGTTGAAAACCTGTATATTATTCGAAGACCATGACAGTATGTACGAAGCAATACAGATCAGTGGAAGAATGTATGTTGAGATTATGACCTTCAGGTTTGAGTTGGAGCAATCAAAAGTGGTCTGCTTTTTAAAAAAAAGTCTGAACTCTACACAAACTACAACAGGCACTATGATTCTCTTCAGAGGTGCTATACAAGTCTTGAAGTAACTTCAATCATTTTCCCTTACTTACAGCAATAAAACACTGAAAACAGGCCCAAATCACAAAATAAGACCAGAACTGCAAAGAGGTTACAAAAATGGTAAATTTACATTAATTTACAACTTGTAGGTAAATATTTCAGGGTAAAAATGGTCAAACATTGAACAACGGCTCACACTTATTTAGGCCAATCTGGAAGGGTCACTTCGAGAGTGCAAGAAATTTCTGACGAAGGGTCTAGGCCCGAAACGTCAGCCTTCCTGCTCCTATGATGCTGCTTGGCCTGCTGTGTTCATCCAGCTCTACACCTTGTTATCTCAGATTCTCCAGCATCTGCAGTTCCTACTATCTCGGAGAAGGATATGTCTGCTGATCAGACACCCATACATAGAATATTGTCATAAGAACAACTTTTCCAGTGGCTTAGGTCAATTTGATGACACAGTGCAGTGGGATCAAACCATGTGATCCAATTTCAACACCTTTACCAATTATTCAAAGATTCTCCAAATCCTCTGCGAGCATCAAAACAAAAAGGCTCAGAATAGATAAAAATTTAAGAAGTGTCCTCTCAGAGGAATAAGTAGTATTTTATGACATCGATAAAAGTGAACCTACAATATCACTTGGTAGATCAGGCCCATGAACTAAGAGGAAATAATGTTAAATTCTAAAGAGTTTTAAACTGACCACAGGGGAGAAAATACTTTGTAAATGTTTTATCATGCTTTGACTTATTGTTCTACCAAGTATTGCCATGTATTCCAACAGCTTAGGGGATTTAAGATACGGATGGGCAATAGCATTGGTTATTTCAGAAACACCAAGTGATGAGTTGGATAGGACAAACAGGAATTCGTAATCCAGACTATCCCTTCACTAAATTATTACTAACTCTAGAATAAGTTGTACATTATTTTAATATCAACAACTACTTATAAATATACAAATTTCCTTTACAAATCAAAAAGACTTAAATGAGTCAAGCATTTGGCATCAGCGTTTTTTGATAATTAAGAAAACTGGCTTTCTTAGAAAATCAATGCCTGGTCTTCAGATAGGTGGAGCAAACCTCCCACTCATCTGAACTCAGTTAGGTATTAAATATTAGAGTGAATTAAATCATTGATCAAAGGAAAAATGTCTGAGCATTTGTTACCAGCTGCATATTAATTCCTGGCATCATGTGTATCAGTTCACACCAAAATAAATGTCACTTAATCTATATCAATACTTCGAACTAATTTAGGAGTCTGGCCTCAAAATATTAATAGCTTTACCAATGAAGATAACAAAATTCAGTATACAATTTCTAGACACCTTGCACCTGATAGGAAATAAGTCCAGACAAACTTATTACAACTTAACTTAGGGAGCTGTCATTTCTGCTGAGTTCCACGGAGGTAGCACCATGCTATCAGCCATCGACAGAAACCAGAGACCAACCAGTGATTAGAAAAAAGGGTTTCCCTTGTCTAAATTTGGGAGGTAGTTGGGCAGACTTCCAGATTCAGTTTGCGTGATCTAAAACCAACAGGGAAAAGCACTTTGCACTCTGCATTCTACTGTGCCTGATGTATGTTCCACAAAATTACATATGGGGAAATAATATGGAATCCACGAGCAGGCATATGACCTACAAGACCATCGAGTTAGTAATGCAGACAGAAAACTACCAAAAGAAATTCTGATCGCAACAATCTTTCACATTCCAATAAACATTTTTACAGGCATGGAAAGAGACGGGGAGGGGGTTAAGTTCAAGATGTACTGTTTCCCAGGGCAGAATAATGAAAAGGAAATTGCAATTGAAAAATAAAACATTCCCAGGTCATTACGAATATTTGATAATCAAAAGTTTCGGAAATGAGTGATTATTCTGCCCAATAAACCCCAGCTATTCTCAGTGAAAATTGTGTGCTTTGAAAGCATTAACATTTTTGGCCGAGTATTAGATTTTTTTTTTCTGCTGTTTCGATTTCCCCATAGAGGAGAACTAAGTGTTTACTGTGTATCATTGGCAGCCTCACAGAGGCCAATTAGACGAGACTATAATTGGGTAGCGTAGGCCGGAAGGACTGGCTTCAATCCCACCTGCTTCAGTGGTGTGTCATAACATGTCTGAACATTTTGATTAAAAATATATAAAAATATAAAACTGGATTGCTGGATGTGATTATGTTACATTAATTATCAAAATCTCAGTTAATGAAGAGGAAAGCCCAAAAGCGCACTCATTCTAAATCTTCAGAATTAAACCCAACAAGGAGCAGCAGGCAGTAATAATTCCATCAACTGCTACCGTCTTCACCTTCATCCCATGCCTCATTTAAAAGCCATTAAGAAATTGTGACATTTAAATCAGAAATTCCAAATAAAACACACCTTCAGCATTAGCGAGAGGGTTAACAAAAGGCAGACTTTGTGATGAATTGGAATAATGCGCAAGACTGGAGATTCAAAATGGCCTCTTTGTTTTTAAAATGCAGTATGGACAGTCCTGGTTGAACTTTCACAGTACTTTTGCCTTTCAAATGAGCTGAATTATTTTCTTTCATCTCCCCCAGGCCAGCAGCATTTTCAATTCTTCAACAAACATTCAAAGCTATGCTACTTAAAAACTGGAGGGAAAACACGGCCGCAGCTAAATGGCAACTGTTGAATAACCTGAATGGGACTTGTCAGTGGTTCGTCAGTGTTTCAGTACGCAGTAGCTGGAACTAGCTCCCTGATGCAAAGTGCAAGCATGTCTCAACATGTCCAATTTCCCTCTGTAGATTTTCAACCCACAGCCTTATAAGGTAGAATAACTTGGCAAACAGTCAGGACCAGCAAATTAGTTGACCACAGCACAGGGTTTCTACAGCAAAGGAAGGAAGGTTAAGACATGAGCTTTCATGGTTAAAGCAGACTAGGGAAAAGCTTAAACGTACCTGAGGTAGTTAGGACTCCTGCAGTATACACAATGCTCAAAAGCTACATTCAGTCAATTCTTTAAAATATAGGCTATGGAACAATTCTTGAACATTCTTTGACACTGTTTAAAGTAGTACCAAAAAGTAGTGCTATTTAAAAGGGGGGAAAAGATCACGCAGTGAAAGTTTTGCATGTCTTTATAGTAAAGCACAATTGTAATTGAATCAGAAACAATAACAGGATTTAGTTAGGAATTTGTTTATGAACCATTGGTGAATTCATTCTCACCCACCTCGCCATATTGAATTTGATTGATTTTGTGTGCAAAACATGCTATTAGAATTCACTCTGGAGTCACAAGATGAGGTGGCACTTTAAAATGACTTGGGAACGAAGCTGAATATTTCCCTTGATGGCGAGTGTTTGAATACAGAGTGATAAAACTGATAACCGAGGCTCTTTACAACACAGAAAGCCCCACGGTATTCCATGTTGCAAGATCTGTCCATCCAGCTGGCAATCTTGAAAAACTGGGTCCAAATGGCTCAAGCCATTCAAAGCAATCCTGTTTCAGTCACTTTTCCCTGGGGCCGGACTTACTCCACATCTTCTGGTGACAAGTTTGAGAATATCCAGGTTAAATAGCAATGTCATCTTGGTCAGGAGGGCTGAAGGCTGCAGCCCTGAGGATGTCCAGAGCATGAACCAAGATGAGGGTCCCTGTCAAGTGTTTCCATCGCTTGGTGATGGGATGCTTCATTTTATCTAGTCCCAGGTGTAGTTCCTGAATCACATCCCTGTAGCTGTCTCCAATCTGTGCGCTCCAGGTCAGCAAGAAATCATAGGCTGGTTTCCACATAGCCTGGAAGAGTACAAATCAATTAGACCTACGATTTTGTACAACTGCCTGCATTTACATAACACTATTTACGTTGCAAATTGTATTGACCCTTCCAGTGGCAGAAGGTAGTTTCATTTTGCCAATCTTGTCACATCTTTGTAGTCTAATAATAGATTAGAAGCTGAATACTGTAAGACACAACTAGCCACTTTTGAAAATTGTCGTTCATTTAAAGGATTGCTGTCTTGGCAGGAACTATATAGTAGACAAAAGGAGTGTTTGATTTAGAATCAGATCCGATCTTATTGCTAATAAAGTTTCTGCATATAACAAGGATGGGCTTTCCCCAACACTGGCTTTTTGCTCACCCAATCAAATTGAGTCACTTAAACAGGAAAGGGGCTGAAATTGTTAACAGCAGAATTAATTCTATATATCCAAATTATAATCAAATTCACAGTGACCCATGCCTCAGAGTCAGCAATGGAAAAAAATCAACTAGAACCTTCCAAACACGTAGAACCAAACTGGTTTTCCAAGGCAATTAACTTGTCAGTGGCAAGGCTCCATATTTTGGAAATTCTGGCAGTTATCACAAACGTTCATTCGCTGCTCAGCTGTACCATATCCCAAGATAATAATAAAATTCAAAGCCTAGTTTATGTAACCAAGGATAGATGGAAGTAGAGGAAAATAAATACAAGACTCCTGCTCGTAAGCATTATTATGATGACCGCACTGCACGTGCTATCCTTGACTAAAGACAGGATCAGCTTGGCTTTTATATCCTTAACAACAACTTACATTTATACGGTGTCTTCAGAAAATGAATGACTCAAGGTGCTTCACAGGAGCACTATAAAATGAAGACAGACGCAAGCCACATAAGCAGTTCTTAGATCAGATGGCCAAAAAAAAAACACCTCAGTCAAACATTTTCAAAAAGTGCCTTAAAATGAGAGAAAAGGAGGGGAGGGGAGAGAGAGGATATGTACAGAGGAGCTTCCAGAGTTTAGGGCTTAAATGATGGCAACAATGGTGGTGTGATTATACTTGTAGACGCACAAGAGGCCAGAATTAGTAGTGCACAAATATCTCAAGAGAATGATGAGGTGGAGGAGACTGTAGAGAAAGGAAAGGGTAAGGCAGTGAAGGAATTAGAAAATTTAAATAAGAAGTTTAGAACTTGAGCAACAGGTGAAGCTAGTTCACAATGCTATAATGCAGTAATGAGTGATGTTCACCATGATACCGCTGACAAGCATAGAAGGTGTTCTGCCTATCACACAAATGTGTTGTATGAATGCCAGTGCTGGTGTTATGCACATTGTATGTCTCAAAGACTGACAGATCATGTCAGACAAAACATCGGTTCGGTTGTTCACAACTGGTGAGGTAATGACTGCAACCCAACCAACCTGTACTTGCAAAACTGAAAAAGTATCTAACATCAGATGTGAATCTGTGATTGGACAACATTTGCCAAATAATCCTTGATCTGTGAATAATTACACTGATGACCAATTGAGGATTCTCATTTGGGCTCACAGTGCGATGCATTTGCATGCAGTGGAAGCTACATGTATTGATGCATCAGGCCCTGTTCTTTGCAAACAGAAATAATATGCACAGGTGGCAACTTAACAAAACAGGTGACAGCCAGTCTTTGGTTCATTTCTTAGGGCAATACCTTAACAAACCAGAGTCTACTTGCCTGGTTAAAATTTAAACAAAGTTTGGCAGTTAACCGTCAGTGGTCATCTAACTGGGGGAATTCTCCGCAGCAATGTCTATAACAATCACAGTTTGTGGCCAACCAAGCAAGACTTTCTTCTCATACACTATTAAAATATTGCTTTCCCTTTAAATTGATATGCTTTGCAAATTGTCCTGATGAGGTCAAGGCAAAAAAGGGAGAAGTTGTGTCCATTCATGGAAGAATTGAGAACCAGAAGGGACAGATTTAAAATAACTGGCAAAAGCAGCATTGGAGTTATCAGGAAAGACCTTGTTTATGCAGCGAATGATGAGGACCTGGAATGTACTGCCCAAGAGAGAGTGCAGCGGTGACAGATTCAATTGTTGATTTCAAAAGGGAATTGGCACTTTACCTAAAAAGGAAGGAGGTGTGGAACTGAGGGGAAAAGGTGGCGGATTGCTACTCAATACATTAGTCTCAGAGAGTTAGCACAAACATGACTGGCTGAATGGCACCCCCTGCATTGTGCTGTAAGCATTTCAGGATTCTACGAGTACTGATATACCAACAATATCGCCCAAACACCTGACCCTCTTTGCCTCTTTAGTCTTTAAGTCAACTTTATCATTTTAACAAGCACACTTCCACTTTCTCAGTATCAAATTCTTGAACTGTGGAGTCAAAGCCGATCACTCAACATCAGCGATTCAAGCAGCCGGACAGTTAACTTTTTCCAAGCAGGCTTTGTTCCTCTCATAGCTGTACTGTACAGTGGTATTTCACCATCCGATAAATCTATTTGACTGTTAAGTTTTCAAAATAAATACCACTGGGTTTCTTGCCAGAAGCAAGAAAACTCCAGATGAAACGCAGAAAACATTCAAGGACATGGGCAGCACGGTGACTCAGTGGTTAGCACTGCTGCCTCTCAGTGCCAGGATCGGGTTCAATTCCACCCTCGGGCGACTGTCTGTTTGGAGTTTGCACATTCTCCCGGTGTCTGCCTGGGTTTCCTCTGGGTGCTTCGGTTTCCTCCCACAGTCCAAAGATGTGCAGGTTAGGTGGATTGGCCATGCTAAGTTGCCCATAGGGGTCAGGGATGTGTAGAATAGGGGGATGGGTCTGACTGGGGGGCTCTGAGCGTTGGTTTGGACTTGTTGGGCCGAAGGGCCTGTTTCCACACTGTAGGGATTCAATGATTCACACTGGATATCATGCTGGACACAATAGTACAAAGGTCACCACCTTAAGCTGGAAACAAAGCCTTTTGGTATCTCAATGTGTGCTCTTTCAAGGCTCGGCTTAAGGTGCAACGATGCAGCGAACATCACCAAAAACAGATTAACTAAATGTTTTTGGGGTCTTGCTACGTACAAATTGGATCCCACAATTGCCCCCTAATCAGCACATCATTGGTTACAAATTGTTTTGGGATATTCTCTTTTTGAGGACAAGGAATTTCTGTCCTTTGCAAACAGATGACTTCTTAGTTAAAGTGGTCAGGACAAACAGGGATATTCACTGTCAAGGCTGGGCTAATATTAGCAACTTTAAATATACTTTGTTTTAGCAATGCCTGAGCAGTTAGCTTAGGCTAAAATGAGGGACCGTAGTCAGATTAGCAACAAAACAAAAATTATAGTGTGCCTCACACAACTTCACCCAGATAACAGCTTGATGGAGATTAGTAATAGTTGTTGTTTGTTACTGCTTACCCAGACTAAATACATCAGATAGAAGAGCAAACTGTGTGTGGAATACAGAGCAATTCACAAACTTCCCTACTGCTTGAGGGAGGGTGATATTAAGTCCGATCTTTGTCTATTCACACAGACACCATTGCTTCTTATTTAGATCCAAGGTGGGAAGGGCTCGTGATCATTCATTCCTACTTCAATGCAATGCTAAATACAGACATCAGAAAGTGAGGCTTTAGGTTGGCTGGGAGAGAAAAGAGTTAAAAAAAAGGATGGTGGAAGGCAGGATGGGTACAAAGTGAAAGAGAAAAAAAAGAGATGGGGTGGGGACAGAGAAGGAATGATGAAAGCAGGAAACAATGAGCACAAACGGGATGACTTCAAATTGAGTTTCTTCCAGGAAACTCAATCCACCTGGAAACAGAGTCTCCTTTGCACTGGAAAGAAGGGACCCAGGAATGATTCATTGTCCTCCAGATCAAAGAGGAGGAAGAGGAGCAAGTTGAGAAAGAAGAAGTAGTAGGGGCGGGGTTGTTGGGCAACTGCACGTGAAACATTTCAGGTGGGCATGCAAAACCATGAAGAAGCACTCATGCTTCTCCAGATCCTACAGAACTGGAAAAAAAAAGTACATGGCTGATACTGAAAAAATACATGGCACCCTGTAGTGACACCTGGAATCCCCTCAGTATCATCGAACCCTGACCTCCATTTCAATACGTTCCAAAGCTGCTGTTATAAAGTGGAGGTTATACCCCTCTCTGAGAACTAACACCGAAACACCCAAAGAGGGGTACTTTACCCCATAATCTGTGAAAGGTGGTATAATCTGCCTTTTGGCAACTTCTAATGGTTAAACAAAACAAACGCCTGACACACTTTAAAATCAACAAGTGACAGTGAACAAATTAGGTAAACTATTGACAAACCAAATAAATCCTTTCTAACCATTAACTATTCCCGAATAAAGCAAGATTCTAATGGTATGCTGTTCTAATAGATACAAGTCCCACTTATATATTAAAAAAAAAATTCAGTGTCTTCCGGAATGTTCTGTGCTTTCTCCATTGATTCTCCTGTCAGAAGAATTAACTAATTGTGCTGTTGGTACCGTTGTTATGTAGATGATGCTTTCTCTGAGACATCGTAGAGGCTGTGAGAGCCAGCAATTCTCCCTCGTGATCCGAGGGCCATTAGCTCTGGCGATTGGCAGCTAGCTCTTGCATCTTTGTCCAACTGTCACCTTCTTCTTATACCCTTGACGACATAGCAATATTTCTTACAATAGGATTTGTCCTACGTTGTTAACACCATCAGACTTAAATTAAATAGGTTTTTGGTATCTAAGTACCTGGTTCAAATTGATTAGCTAAATTCAAAAGCCTGTTGTCGTGGTAAAAAGGCTACTGCTTGGCCTGCTGACTGTACTGCCTTTCAATAAAATGTTTCAATTTGGGTGCTCCTGTGTACTTGCAAACTTTCAAGCTGCTGCTCACTCTCATCCATTCTAAATGTCTAAGCACTGAAAAAGCGCATGATCTTTTAAAGGGACCACGCAATGCTATTCCTCCTAGCATTTCACAAACACCAAATTCTAACTTCCTGCCTCCCAATCCAGTAGTACTCTACCCAATTTAGCAGGAGTACGCTGCTGCAGTCTTGTTGACAATGTGTCATTGTCCACACTTTGTGGCACTTTTTATTGGGTGGAATGGCTGAAAAGGTCAGCCTTGGGCTCCTAGAATAGAAACAGCAAATTAGCCCATTTTGAAACCATCAGTCTTCTCAATAGAAAAGACGTTGACTTGGATGTGCAGTTTCAAAACATGTAGTCACACGGAACCTGCAAACATTATGAATTATGAGGAAGATAGTGATAGGCTTAAAGAGAACACACAAGACGGTGGAATGGCCAGACACATGGCAAAAGAAACTTAACGTAGAGAAGTGTGAAGTTATATACTTTGGTAGGAAGATTGAGATGATAGATCTGAACTAAAGGGTGTAATTTTAGGAGCCAAGGCAATAGGGAGTACAAGCACATGCAAATCATTGAAGGTCAGGTGGAGAAAGTGGGTAAAAAAGGCATACAATACTGAATATAACACAAAGAGCTGTGAATGCTAGAGATCTGAAATGAAAACAAAATGCTGGAGAAACTCAGCAGGTCTGGCAGCATCTGTGGACAGAAGACAGAGTTAATGTTTCAAGTCCAGTGACCCTTCTTCAGAACCCCTCTTGCAGATCTGAAGGGTCACCAGACTCGAACCATTAACTCTGATGCTGCCAGATCTGCCGAGTTACTTCAACAATTTATGCTTTCAACACAGCACAGAATCCTGAGCTTATGCGGACAGCTCAGAAGAAATGAGCATTATGATGAACCTTGATGAAATAGTGCACCTCAGCGAGAATACTGTGGACAAGTCCAGGTCCACACTTTAGTGGCAGTGCAGAAAGATTTACAAGAATGGTTCAAGAGACGAGGACTTCAGTCATGTGAGCAAGCTTGGGGCTGTCTTCCTAAAGGAAAATTTTGAGAGGGAATTTGTTAGGAGGTGTTCAAGTCAGGTGGTGTGGGCAGAGTAAATGAGGAGAAACTGTTCTTGTTGACAGAATGGTCAAGAACCAGGGGGCACCAATTCAAGGGGATTAACTGAAGTACCAATGCCAAGTTAAAGGAAAAACATTTCTTTATGCAGTGAGCAGTTAGGATCTGGAATGCTACGTCTGACAGCATGGTGGAGCAGATTGTATTGTGGTTTTTAAAAGGAAAGTTTAATTACTTGGACAGAACCCACATGCAGGTTATGGTTAAAAGGACAGGAGAGACTAGCTGCACTGCTATTGCTTAGAGCTAGCACAGATATAATGGACTGAATGGCTGCATTCTGTCACCATTCTATCATCCAGACTTGGAAAGAGGTGACACCGTCTGCAAACCTGCAGAAAAGGTAACATGAGGGACAGCTTGTTGAAGTGTGAAGGAAGCAATGATTTTGGGAAGACTGGTGAAATATATTGGAGCTAAATTACCAGGGGTTTTAAATAAAACAATTTGAAAGATAGTATTTCAACTGATAATTTAATAATTTGACAATGTAAAGGCAAAAAGTTTCAAGGCTAAGGTCCCTTTGGGGATTCAAGGAAAAATGCAAATTGTTGCTTGAAGATAAAACACCCACCAGAACCAAACATTGAAGACAGAAATGTTTTTAAAAGGATAGTTGTATCAATACAGTGCCACAAACGTAGCTTCTGATAGTGCGTGCTGACCCAGACTGTGAGCTGGTGCTGACTGAATAATCTCACCTCCGTTTCAACAACTCCATTCTTGTCCCTGTGTGGGGCTTCGTAGGCTTCCATCTGCTGCCGGGAAACTTTGGCCAGTTTCTCAGCCAACTCTCTCCATCTTGGGGCTACTTCAACGGCAGTGGTGAGGAGCACAAAATCCTGGATGAGCCTGGCAACCAGACCCTGGCAATCCAGTTTCAGCAAGGCCTGGGGACGACAATGAGGGAAAAATTTAGTAGCTGAGAGACCACAAACGTAGGGTGGTCGGGAAAAGACCAACACGCCCATCAAACCCAACCCACGCTCAACACATGGAGCGCCGTGATTGATAATATGAACCAGCAGCAGGAGTAGGCCATTCGTACACTCAATCCTTCTCCTCGATTCTAGAAGATCCTGACTGTTCTATATCCCAGCCTACCAGAGAACCTTTCACCTACTTGCTAATCAAGAATCTATCTCTGCCTTAAAAGTAATCTAAGGCTTGGCTTCCAGAGACTTTGTAAATCTTTGGAATTCTCTTCCACAAATGTCTGAGAGAAAATAATTCTTCTCATCCCCATCTTAAATGGGTGACCCCTTATTTATAAGCAGCGATCTCCATTTCTAAATCCACCCAGGACAGGAAACATCCTTTCCACAGCCATCATGTCAAGGCTCCTCAGAATCTTATATATTTCAACCAAAAGGCACCTCTTAGTCTTCTAAACTCCAGCAGATTCAAACCTATTCCACCTAACACTCCAGGTTTTAATCTGGTTAGTAGACATTCTTAAACATTTCTTCCGGTCACCCTACAGTCGTTTAGCCTTCAGGGAGAGGCAAAAAAAATACAGTTAAAAAAAAAACCCAGGACTAATAAAGGAAGGTTATTCTGGAAAATTCCTGAAACTAGTCTGGGAGATCACATGGGCCAACAGTTAACTACAAAAACACTAATCTTCTTTATCTCTGCCTCAGTCAGGAACCCCAGCTGCCTGTCAAACGGTTATGGAGTATACCAGCTAGGAACACTTTCCTGACACACACTACAATCTGGGAAAGGAACTACCCAACAATCACTGAATTCCTACTCTCACACTGAGTCGTCTCCCTTGGTCACCTCACCTTGGTAACGTGGACTAACGTATCAATAGATTATCCAGCACTTCATTATTTTATTGACTGTGATCCGCTCAGCTTCAAATCTGACTTTCTCTGTAAACACACCAAGATCCTTGGGGCTGAGCAGATCAGGTTTCTTAAGCAGGTATCCATCATTGTAATTCTCCACTGGATTCTTTCCAAGGGCTACAGGTCACCAACCTTGTGGGTGGGATCTAAACTGGGCCCTGTACCCAAGCTGTGGCTTACTGTGTAATGTACAGAATGCCAAATCAGTCCCCTTTGTCATGTGCGCCAAGATCTTTTCCCCTCTTAAACTTTCAGTAAAGTTCCCTACAAATAACACGATATTCTGTGACCCAAATGACATACATAGCATTTATTTAAATTACCATTTAACATTGTGGTGACACATGCACCAAGCACAACTCAACCTGTCTGCAGTTGACTGCACACCTACACACACTTCATCCTCAAGTTGATTTTGGCAGCAACTTGCTGGCTGCCTGGAGTCACAGACAACCTATAAATGAACTGTGAAAATTATTGCCTTAGTTATTAATAAAGAGATTTGCAGGCTTTGCACCAATCCCCTGGGTGATCACCTCCACGATGACACTCATTCCCCTTCTGGGTCGTGAGGCTGGAGCCAATTCCCATTCCAATGTTACAAATTGCAATTGATGACAAAAGACTATAATGTAAAATCTACATCAAACACTGAAGTGTTAATTGTTAATTTGACAAAGGGCAACACATGGGGGGGGCGCAGTTTTACACCCTTTTGCTAAAATCCTGCTGCTTTGAGGATAGAAACATTTTCTGAATTAGTTCTTTCATGGTGTTACAGGTACAACAGTACCAGCAACTAACGGCAGGGGAGAATCAATGATAACAATAAGGTTCTAACACAAGGCACTCAATCAACTGAACATGTACATAATCTACTATGGCTATCGGTGCAACTGAGTTAGGGAAATCATACAGCTTCAGGGTATATTAAAACATCTTCGGTATTATTCAGCATATCTTTTCCAATAGCCTGCTTTGCAGTTACCCTATGGAATTTGTTGAACTATAGAGTCATGCAGCTCAGATGAAGGAAACTCAGTCCATCAATTCTAGGCCAGATCCTTATCCATTTACTCACACTGCCCAACTCCCTTTGTTTCAGGATACCCAGTGATATGCTTCTGATATCCCTGCAGAAGCCAAGAAATATGTAGGCAGATAAAATGTGGGTTTCACAAGCGTCTGACTTGGCTCAGTGGTAGCACTCTCACCGTATGAGTGGTGAGAGTGGCAGTAGAGGGCTGTAGGTTCAAGTCCCAGGGCATACAGTCTGGACATATCCATATGTTCATAGCTGGTTGCCAGAACAACACTTCCTTTAGACTAGAAGGTGCTCATCATTGAGGTTACAACCCCTAAATAATCTAACGGTTGATTTAAGGTGGGTGGATGGGGTAGTAGTAAACTCATCACATATTTTCCTCTCTCCTGCCACTTTTACTCAGCAGTTTTGATGTATATTCTTTGTGGAAACTACCTTCAAAGAGCAGGGAAAAGAGGAGACAGATCCTGCCTCAATCAGGGTTTGGAAAGGTTATTCCCATAGCTGTAACACAACTTCTATCTGAAATGTGTTGAATAATTGTGAATGGCTCAACAGTTTCTTAGTTATAAGGCTCCTTCAGTCTAAACAGTTCAGCAACCTAGAAATTTGCCTGTAATTATTTATCCTTTTGGCTATTGCAGTGGAAAATGAGATGATGAATGATTTTATACGATTTTACATTAGACAGGCACTTGAAGGAAATAGCTTGCAGTGTTATAGGGGATAGCAGGCAACTCCCAGGTTGGCTTTACAGAGAGGCACATAGGATAGGATGGGCCAAATGGCCTCTGTCAGTGTTGCAACGATAATATCATTGCTTACGGTGATGTTTACATATATGATTCAATCCACTTTGTGGAGGCAGGGATGACAGCTGGGACAGCATAATACAGAACTAGCAAAAATGAGTCCAAGCAGGTCATGCTAGTGTAAGATCAACAATTGACATACTCACTTGGAACGGTGAGCGGACAACAAAAAAAATACTGCGAGTAGAGATTACACTGAAAGAAAGCTGCAAAGATGAATCCCCAGGGAAGACTGACATTAGAAAGACAGAGCAATTCAATCAGAGCAGATAATACACCCATTCAGATCACTGCACTGTGAATATAACAGTGCCAATGCCCTGAGCTCTAAAACAGACAGGCCATTTGTATCCTTCTCAAGCTCAATTTGCAATGTGCAGTTTCGTTTCGTGGTGCCGGTGTCAGAATGTGATGTGTGTAACAGCAAGAAACAATGAAGTGTCCTCCCCCTCACTTCCCAACCTAAAGTAAAGAAACATAACAGCAGAGACATGTTGAGACAGCCGGGATTCAGGAATCATGACAACCACGCAAGGAAACTAAAACAACTGCAAAACAAAGAGATTAACTTATCCATGCAATAGCTCAAAATAAAAACAACGCAAAGTTGCTGCACCAATTTGTTTCAGTCTAATACTATAATGCAATATAGTTGCACTGTTCAGGACAGACATAGTATTCATCTTAAGATGTAACATCTTACTGCACTGAGGAGCCTTATGCATTATATACCCAATAATTAATATCACCACTTTCGCTCCTCACAGCAGGTGGAGTGTCATGACCAGGGGAAGCAGAGATGCCCATTGCCAAAGTCTATATAGCCGTGGCACGGTGGAGGTGCAGGGCAGCACAGTGTGAGGCCCGACAGCACAGCAAGGTCTGGATAAGCCAATGCATGGCAAGATGCATGATAGCTGGGGTGCAGCCAAGGTGAGTGCCCTCATCCTGGTTTTTGAGCTTATCGAGCAACGAAGCAATATGGTTGTGTTAGATTTTCCTAAACTGAGAAATTCAAATCAAATGGTCGCACATGAAAGAGAGTTACTTTGGCTTCAGCCCCACTCCAATATTGGATTTGGGTTGTTACTCCAGTGTAGTACTGACCAAGAACAGTGCTGCATTTTGAGAAGCACAAGCATTTGAAATGGAGCAACAATCCAAGGATGGGTCCACCTAATCAGTCACTCAGGGGACTGTTAAAAGATCCAATGACTGTAATTCAATGACCATACCATAAGTTATTACAGTACTTCCCAAGAGAGAGAGTTTGTTTTAAAACATACCCAGCCAGATTGCTTTAAACTGATTTGTATGGATAAAACAGTAAAGCAATTAAGGAGACACTGAAAGGTGTGTGGCCATTTGCTCTTTTAACATTTAAGAGACAATACACTATTCAGGAGAACTGGTGTACCTGACACCATATAATGGAATTTAAATGGTTTCAATAATTAAGCATCATAGTGGAGGGATGGAGAACGCATCTTGGGGTATTAGTGAATATACAAAGGTCTGCTCCCAAGAACAAACAGAATGACTTTTAACATATGTCTCAGCGAGCATTAGCCACATTGTGGTGAGCTTTTTGCACCACTTCAGCGTTGAGCTTCTAGCAGCCAACATGTAGCATCAACGGCATGCACAAATTTTCAAGAAAATTAAGGCACACGAGCATTGCCTGGACATCTGTGCCCACTCCACTAACATCCACGCCGAGACTATATTTCAAATAATTTTCACTGCTCCAGCCATTAAGGTGAAAGAACGAATACTTATATTTCACAGGCCATGGTGAAATAAATATGGTGGGTGGCCTGGAAATGGCATGATTTCATCAAGGTTGGTATAGAAAATGGGGAGTATTTATACTTGAAAGAAAAAGGGATATGTTGACACAATTATCTGTAGTGACTCCTAATGTTACAATCTTATTGTATTGTCATGATGAATGCTACTTGATGAGTAAAGCCCCCTGATGAGTTCCACTTGAACCACATCATGAAATGTCATTCCCCCAAATTGAGTTGTGCAATTTTTGGCTTGAACTGTGGTTTCACCATGATTATAAGAAATTATTTAATTTAAAATCATGACTTGGTGCATGGTAAAGTTCCCCTCCATAGTCTTTCACTAGGGCATTTTCACAGAAGATGACCAATGAGTACAGTTGATTA